GTTTTTGGAGGTTCGAAGTTTTCTTTAGGGTTTTGATTTTTTTTTGTTTTTATTAACCATATCTCTTAGCGCGAAATTTGATAAAAAACCCAGTCGATTGCAATTTTTAAGGTTTTTGGAGGTTCGAAGTTTTCTTTAGGGTTTTGATTTTTTTTGTTTTTATTAACCATATCTCTTAGCGCGAAATTTGATTATTGCTATTGTTTCCGATTTAAGCCTGTTTGATAAAGACAGTTTATTTTTATAATGTAGACTTTTTGTAATAACAGTTCATTGTTTATATACGGATTTTCATCCGAGTCGGTCAATGTGTTATGGATCTAATGATTTGTCTTGACGATATATGTCAATGTTGCAGTTTGTAGTAAAATAATGGGTTTAATGTCTAATATTTAGTGACAGTTAATTACCGATTATTTAAAAATCGTGAGAGGTAAAGGTCCCGTATTCGAATCCAGCGGCCCTGCATTCCAACCTACATATTTACAAATGGGCTTTTTTTTCAAAAACATCGGCACTCCAGAGAGTTCAGAATTATAACCTCGTAGTTGAAATACCCTCGGAAAAAAAATCGTGAGATGCGGTCTGGTATGATAGGTTTACCTATTTTACCTACATATCTGTTGCCTACATCACACCAGGCCGCATCCCACGATCTTTAAATAATGGGTTTAATTGTTTTATTTATTATTATTATTTAATGAAAATATCGTATTTGGCGTCATTGGGGTCTTTGTAATTTGTACCCTAGCCCCTTGAACTGTTTTTCCTTCTAATTTCGAAATGGGCTCTTAAAGGTGAAAAGAATTTTCGCCTTTTCTACCTGTTTTTCAACGTTTGGCCCTTTGGAATGTGCTCCAGGTCTTTTATGTTTACCTGGACCAATGTCTGACAGGGCATTTTGTTTTCAAACATAGGCAAAGTAAATTTACACGAAGACTTCATATTTAAAAAAAATCAAATTCGCAAGGGTTGTTTCTTCTGTACTAATTGACCAATCGAAGGAACAAACATCCTCATTTAAATTAGCCATCAATCTCTTTTAAAGTTACATTTTATGATTTGAAAATGTGTACCAATGAAATTTTAAGTAGGAATTAATATTTGAACCATAATGGCACGGAGATAGCTTGATCTAAACTGAAATAAATTATATTAGGAAAATTATTGAGTTAAAAATCATTTTAATGTCCTTATTGACTTATGTTCTAGTTAAATTTCGTTGATGATTGAACCCTTTCACGTTTTATTAATTAACACAGCTCCAATGAATAATAAATGGCAATAAAGTGAAATTTTTAATCGAGACAGAAAATTAGTGGAAACCCGCGATCTCTGCCAAGCCCTGCCGATTTGACGGTTATTAATTGCTTTTTTGAAGGAACAAAAAAAATCAGACGAGAAACATTGTAGCTGGTAATCTTGATAAATTGTTCAATTTTCAAAACGTGTTATTAGGGCCTTAACCCGGCTTCTTAATTTCGTTGTCTTTTTGCTCAAACCGCGTAACCCCCAAGGCCAGACGATTTTTCTTCGTATTTTTTAACTGGGCCCTCCCATCTTCGGTAACATAACATCGAAGAATTTTTGGCCAAAACTTTATTTCTCAAATTGAATTACAAACTTTTTTGTTGATAATTTGTTGTGCGGTTATTAAATTAGCGATCATTTTGGCCCGCCTATCCTCGCTTTGTTTGGTCCGTCAGACGCCTTTCGTCATTTGCCATATTCATTGTTGGGGCGTCTTCGTGATTATTAAAAATAAAAAAAGATTTTTTGTACGCAGTAATAGTACATATTTGATTGTTCTTTCTTTAACAACTCCAAGAACTAATATAAACGTGTTTTAGATTATAAAAAAATTCCTATCAGTTTGGTGAGTTTGTTCAATTCAGCATTCTCTCTTACCAGGGGACGACCACGTTGGAGGGTCACGGATTTGGACCAAACTTTTTTTGGTGATTCCGCACTCCAAAATATCGGATACCGTTTTTTTGTGAATAGACCCTGTTTTCGCATAAAAATTTCCATTTTTTAATATTTATATATTGGTCAAATCAGTTATGTGAATATATCATTTTACAGCATTTTTTATGTAGATTGCAACAAATATATAGAAAAATTTGGTATGATTTAAAAAGATAAACAAAATACTGTTTTTTGTGTGTATATTTAACAAACATTCTGTAAGCAAAGTTTTAAGGGTCAAAAAATCGATAAATTTAGATTCAAACAAAAAATTATATTTAGGGGTCTCTTGAGGTCTCTAGATGTGCTAAAACGAAATTTCATATTAGGTTTATCAGAGAAAAATTTATGACCTAGTTTACTTGAAAAATATTTGGTTTTTAGAATTGCTTTGGATATTGATAAACTTTGATAGCTTTAAATATATTTTTCTTGCAATCTACATAAAATGCTGTAAAGTGATATATTCACATAGTTGATTTGGGCAAGGAAAACGGTGAAATAAAAATATCAAACAACGGAAAATGTTTGGCAAAACCAAGGCCTATTCACAAGAAGTTGCACGTGTCCATTATTTTGGAGTGCAGAATCACCAAAAAAAGTTTAGTCCAAATCCGTGACCCTACTTCATTATGCTGTCGCTAGGATCTCCCTTAAATCAGAAGCCCTGGAAATGGTCGCTTCCCAACCAATTCAAGCTCCAATGAAGGCTTTGGACAGTTAGGTCATTTCAGCCCCTAATACATTCAAACTATAATCTAACCTAAAAATAACTAACTTATATAATACATCCATTATATTTGTTGGTCTGATTGACCAAATTACTTCTTTCAATTAATTAATATTTTTATGTAAGGTTTTGGTTGAAATGAAAAAGCTAGTGTCTCGAGCAGGATTCGAACCCACAACTGCTATTCTAACCACTTGAGCTATCGTGACTTCCATCCACTCGGACACCAACTCCCCTTTTCAACTTACAACCTTTCTAATTTTCCCTCCATTTTGCCATTTTCAAATGTCTTATATTCTCAATCTTCTCAGCCTTCAAATGTTATATAATCCAGTCGTAAAAGTAAATGCATTCACACCTATGTAAATTGCACTTATTCTGATTACTTGGTGAAGTACTCTATACTTACTCTGTAGATTAGGTCCTCCATTGTCCTATAGTAATCTAAATTAGAGCCGATGGAGTACTTTTATAAATATTCTGCCATGGTTCTCCACAGAGTTCAACTTCTAGTGCTAAAGTTTAGGAATATAGAATTTTATTACTCAACATAAAATAAAATAATAACAAAAATAGCTTTAATAGTTTGTATTATTTGTTTAAGAGAAAAGACCCCCCAAATTTTTTACAATAATCGTAAATTATCTTTTTTTTAAATTTCTGATTATCCAATTAAAATTGATTTATAGGCTTAATTAGTTAGTGAAACAATAATAATCAATTAATTTTGTTTTTGTGAAAAATGTCTATTGGTTGCGTCAGCATTTTCACCTTTGACCAGTTGATGGAGAGATATAGGATTATTTTAGGAAGTAAGCCGTATAGGATTTTTTCTTGCTTGAGTTACTGTGTATTTCAATATTTTTACGCTTTTCATTATTTGGTAGGAATAAAAGTTGTATAATTCAGTTTCAATATTCTGACAAGGAAATGCATCAACATAAATTTTTTAAATACTATCCGTTATTCTTTTCTTATACCATCTGACTTGAACTTCCACATAGATTATGACATTTTGTACATAATTATCTAGCGTATACATCAAGGGCAATACGTTGGAGAAAAAATTCTGCTCTTCTTTACAGACCTTGATAAGCAATCTTGATAAATAATCATTTTTGCTAGGCGAATCAGAGATAAAATATAATACATTATTGTTCGGAATAAAGGACACCTCAGGAGTTGTTGAATGTTTACCATCTTTGATTACCCAAAATTGTGTACGGAATCATTCACTTTCATAGAAAAAAAAAATCACTTATGTTACTGTGATAAAACAAATCTAAATCCCCTAAATCTTAATTAACCATTAATAGTTCTATAATCTGGTTAATGTTTGTTTGTAGATTATACCTTCAATTAATAGTTATACAATAATTTATTAAATAGTTAACTAATTTTTCTTTGAAATAAATAAGTTAACCATTTCTGTTATATTATATTGATAAATTAATCTTACATTATAATTATTGATTGATTGATTTATATTTGCATGCACATGTTTGTGCAGAATCTGATATTTTGGAGATCTGAGGTCAAACCCTGGTCTTATCCAAACCGCTGACAAGTTAAGCTCCAAGCGGCTATAGACAAGAATGTCTTTAGCCCCCAAAGCAAGCAGTTTTAACCTTAATTGTCCCTTTCTTAATTTTTCGCTGTTCACATGTCGGGTGATTCTTGTATTACACTCACATTTACGCTTATAAATACATTCTCACAGTTAACACAGAATATATCTCTCACCAAACCTTTTATATATATGATAATAAGATTACCTGCTATAAAAAAAAATCTATACATACAGAAATCTTCCAGTGTCCTTCAAAAATCAAATTAGGGGATATAAAGATTCACTGCCATACTTGAGCACAATTCTCAGATCAGGTGGCATTCCTGCTCATTCTCTGAATGGAGCCATAAAATGGCACCTTTATAATTAATTATTTTAAATAATGTGTGGTATTTAGTGACCGTTAATTAATGGTTATTTGGAGATTGTGAAATGCAGTCTGGTGTAAAAAAAAACATTTCTTTGTCACCAGACTGCATCTCAGGATCTCCAAAAAAATCGTTTTAAATAATATCTGTAATTTTTTTCAAGCATATTTTTGAACTGTTCAATTTTTTTTGCATTGAAAAATTGAAAACAAAGTGTAAATTTGTTTGTTATGCCTGTGTATCAAGATTGCTGTTTATTGTTGGAGAGGCATGTTTTCATACAATTCTGGTTAAAATATAATTCTTGCCTTTTGAAAATAATCAGTAGTACCGATTCCATGTATGGATATTTTTTATTTTCCAGTGTTGAAATTGGTGAATCAGTAAGAGGTGAGGATGTGTATATTGTGCAGAGCGGGAGCGGTGAGGTAAACGATAACCTCATGGAACTTCTAATTATGATCAACGCTTGTAAAATAGCTTCTGCCTCTCGTGTAACTGCAGTCATACCTTGTTTCCCTTATGCCAGGCAAGATAAGAAGGACAAGGTATGTTCTATGACACACTATTGTTGCTATTTCAATGTCGATTTTTTTTTTAAATGTCAAGTGGTCATTTTTGAGCTTTGGTGTATTTATTTTTCATTAAAGAAAATGTACTTGTGAATACAAATTTGGGTTTACTTACAATTTGTAAGTAAATCCTTTCTATAAAATTCTTAAGTGTGATTATAAGCTTTGCCAGCTCATGTACATTTTAATCGCAGGCAGGTAGCGAAACTAAGCCAGGATCAACAGGAGGTCCACCTTTTAAAAACTACGAATGGAAATTCAGGGTAGACACACAATTTTTACTTTGTTTAAGCACACACATGGGATGATCAAATCATTTGCTAAGGGTTCAATTTGAGCTTTTTTGTACTGTTTCTACATTAGTTTTATTTTGTTCAATGCATATGGTCTTATGTTAGCCAAATAACACAATTTATTTGCAGCAATTTGTTTTTGTAGAGGGTTTGGGAAGTATTATTGTTAATTGTTGTTTTAAACAATTTTCATTGCTGCAGCTTTTACTAAATTAAAATAAAAAATAAAATAAAAATAAAAAGCATGTTTTATGTCTTGTTTAATTTATAGAAAAATTTTTTATAAAGGGAGAGAATATGTTTTAGTTTCATTTTATCACTAAGAGGAAAGTTTTATTTTTAAAATAAAAAATGTTTCACCATTAGCCCTGCGAATGTTACAGCTTGCAATATTTGCTTGTTGAACTCTTCTGAATAAAAGGATCTGGAATCTCTTAATTGTTAAAAGGCAAACTTTTAAAACACAATTTATATATTTAAATAAAAGTAAAGTGTTAACTTAAATTTACTCTTGAGTATATTAATTGTTGATTCATAGAAAAGTAAGGAGTTAAGATCTTGCCTTGCTATAAAAACAGATATAAAGTACAGGGTGTTCGAGAGTAATTATAATTACAATCTTGTTTTGATTTTGATACAACTTAAAATTTACAATACTTAATTAAAACAGTTAAATTAAATTTCTGAGATTTTTGTTGTGTGCACAAATTTGAATTCTAAGAAAACCTTGAAAATTCTTTCCTTGCGTTATTCCACATTTTGAATTCAGGACTGATTTTAACCAGGGAGTGAGTAATTGTGGGAAAAAATGGAAGAATGACACAGAATGGCTAACTGAGGCAATTTATTATTAAAATATTAAGAAATCATTACGACTAAGGCTTAATGTATTTATATCATTTGTGTTGTGTTCCATTTAAACTAGAAAAACCCTTCTAAAAAGAAAACAAATACAATATTGTTTTTTCTTTTTTTTCTTTCGATATTTTACAGGATTTTGTACCTGAGGTTGTCACAGTGAGTAGAAGTCAGCCAATGTCATTTGCACATCAGTCCTGTGTGAAATGATTTATTTATTTGTCATACTAAAACAAACAATAAAATAGAATAAAAGTGCAAAAAAATAAATAAAATAAAATTTTAAAAAAGAAACAGCTGACCTAGTTTTTGATTAACTTTCTCAACTTGCAGTTTTGTTTTAATAACATGTTCTTTTCTTTTTATTCTCTTTTTTATGCGATCTTTCCTCCTTTTCGTAATAATAAATCTTACATGCTTAAATTTTCAACTAACCTCAGCTAAGTTACTCAGGTGTTTTTACTAAAACAGGACATTCTTGAGCTTTTTATTTTATAGAGATGGTGTCTTTTTCTTAATATGGTGAATTAATCATAGCTGCACGTTAATAAATTAAGTTTTTGTTGTTTTTTCACATATTGGTTTTGGTACTAACATTAAAATTGTGTTTATTGCTTTAATGAGTTTTATGTTTGTTTTTTCTATTTATGGGGAGTCTTGATAGTTGATCTTTATTTATATTACACTATAAGTCACTAACATGATGCATTTGCAACACTGTCATTTTTACACGATCAATTTTTGTATTTCTATCTTTTTTCTATTAGAAATTCAATTCTTTTGAAGTGAGAGTGCGATAAGATTTTATTTACCACAAAATGACCCCGGAAAAGGTTATTGATTGTGTAAAAGAGACCAAGATTCAAAGGTCGTTTTATGGCTTTTTAAAAAAAATATAAGAATCTTCCTAACATTTTGGTTTAATTACTAAAAATTTAGCATGCTGTCATATTAAAAAATCATGGGTTAAAAAATCATATTACAATTTAAAAAAAATTAATAGCAGATTTCAGAAAGGAATAAAAGTGTGGTTGAATTAAAATGATCAATGTTTTAAATTTTGTTTTGCCTGATAGTTTTTTTTGCTATTTTTTGTGTGATTCCATTACTATTTCCTTGCCTACTGGTGTTGCAAATGCATTATGGCTGGCTTTAAAGGGTGAGACGGCAATGTGCCAGATATGAAATATTTTGCACAAACCTTTGTAAATATAATTCAATTAACTTTTCAAAACTTAATTCATTATATTATATTAATAATTAATTGATTCAAAGTTTTGGTTATAAATTTTTTTTAAGGTCGATTTTTATAATTTATAAATTTTATTTCCATTGGTGTCCTTCTTTAGTGAGACTTGACAATCTAATTTCAGAGCAGATCGATAGCACCTGCTCTTTGCAGTTACATAACTGGATTTGTTTTTGCCTCTGTCTGTCAGATAATGTTTCAGTAATCCACATTTACAATTAACGTCATCAGATTATTTACCATTCTGTAGGATCAATCTGGTGAAAATAATTTTGGCTTGGCTGTAATACAGTTTTTTAGTTTGAATTGATGCATTGTCAAATATGTTTTCAGTTTTTTAGAATACCAAGTAGACTAAGCTTCAGTAAAGGGGACCGAGTTAACTGAGTAGTCAGTGGGATAGGCTCTCAGCTCGTAGACCCCGCGGCCGTGGGTTCGATTCCCATCGTTGCCCCTGGCCCTTTTTTTCCATGCAACCCTATCCCCCAATTATATGATATAATATATATAATGAAATAATCAATGGAATCATACTCTGGCTAATATGCAAGCTCATAATGCCATAAAAAAGCCTCAACCAATTATTAACAAATTGTCCTATATTTATGTCTTTATAACCTTATAGTTAAGCAGGGTTTTCAGTTTTAAAGATCCTAGCTTCTGTAATAAAATTTAAAAAAAAAAAATCAAATTTCCCCTGTAAAAAGATATACAGCTTTTATAACTTCCTACCTAAACCACTAGAACCAGTCAAAACAAATTGTTCTGATACTCATGTATTTAATAAATAGTTTGAGTGTGTTTTGATATTAAAATTTTTCAAAGTAATGTTTTGTTCGATTTTATTTTTAATTTAATTTTCTTATGCTGTAAAGATTTGTTGTGGTTGTCTATCTCTTCCAATTTGAACCAAAAATGTCCTACTGTTTTTATGTTGATAGTTACTATTTAACCACAAGCTAAGTGTGTGTACACTAAATAATTTAATTATTTTGTTTGTGCAAAATATTTTATCATTACTTCACTTTTTAATAGGTTGGTAAATTCAACCAAAAAAACACATTAACATTAACATTATTGAGTTTTAAATTATAGTAGTAACTATGTTCATTTTTGTTATTCTCCTGGTAATACAGAGTCGGGCGCCGATCTCTGCAAAGCTTGTTGCAAACATGCTCTCTGTCGCCGGGGCCGACCACATCATCACGATGGACCTTCACGCCTCACAGATCCAAGGTTTCTTTGACATTCCTGTCGACAATCTTTATGCCGAGCCAGCAGTCCTTAAGTGGATCAAGGAAAACATTCCAGAATGGAGGAATAGCATTATCGTCTCCCCTGATGCTGGTGGTGCCAAAAGGTAGTTTTTTTTTTTTTTTAATAATTTTATTTAGTCTATTAAACCATTAGAACTGTTTATTTTCATTCTTGTAGTAGTATAATATTAGATATGGTCTGAAAAATGTTGAATCGTGATTAGTCATCACCACAATCATAGCAAATTCTGTTTTGTTTCCACATATCTTTCTTGCTGTCTCACATATTTTCCTCCCAAACTTCCTAACCTCTGTTACCTGTTAACTCTGGTTGTCAAATTACTAATAAAGTAAAGTAAAATAAAATAATATCTGTTATACAGGAGGGGTTAATAATAATTTGTGTTATTATCTGATGACAAAGTTGGTCGTCCTGGTAGTCAAACCACTTTTAATAATTTTTCATACTATAATTTGTAAAAAAGCCTTGTACTGTGCTGGGATTTGAACCGAGAACCATTAATGTGGCAAATATCGGTCTCCCCATCTTCCTTGGAAAAGTCATCTCTCTCCCTAATCTTACAACGTTAGCCAGAGTTGACGGAGTACGAGTTCAGATAATGTGACAGTTTTTATTATATTCATGGGGGAAGGGTATCATGAAAAAATGGCCAGTGGTGACAGTTGGATTCAAACCCATGACCACATGGAAACCCAGAGAGACAGCTGAAAGTGCAGTTCTAGCATCGTGGTACTAGTTATTCTGATTACGCAAAAATACCTCCATCTCCAAATTTTGCGATAAGTAGTCATTCACTCCTCAAAGGTAATTGATATTCCTTGGGGTGGGTTTAAAGCGTTATCAGAATAACTACTACTCCCATAACTAGAATAACTAGGCTCCCAGCATCCTTTAAAAACACACTTGTGGTGGGAACTCCCTCCTCAGCTGTAAACTTGTACAGGGTGTCTAAGATTCCTGATGTTTTGGAATAGTCAGCAGACAACACTTCGAAAGTGGAAGTGAACTTCAAGTATTGCAGTACTGGTTATTTTGATGACACCAGAATCCCTTCATATCCTAACAATAGACAAGGTTTATAACACTTCCCGCCACCTTTAGAAACGCCGCTAGCGATGGGAGCCCCACTTTCTGGTCATCAACTTGGACAGTGCGGTGAGGAATCCCATGCAATGTCCTGGAGATAAGTCAGCAGACAATTCCACCAAAACATACTCTACTGCAGCGTACCATTGAGCATACATCTGGCATCATGGTACTAGATATTCTGATGATGCTGGTATCCCTTCCCCCCCCCCCAATGATACAAATTTGGTCAGATTATACCCCCAAATTTTATTCTATATTCCTCAGGACATATCATTTCAAGGGCCCCTCTTCATTCTAAAAAATCCCTTTCAATCTTCAGACATCACACTCACCCGAGATCACTAGGTATTCCTCATGGGGGTTCCAGGATAGTCACGCTGATAATTTACATTCACACTAACATAACACTCAAGCACAAGTATATCCACTTATTTGATAGCCCTGAGGCACTGGGACACTGTGAACCTGCTGCATTTTCACTGTTAATTTTTAAAATTTTTGTTGAAAATTTTGATATCTATTGTTTTTTAGAGTGACATCCATCGCAGACAGGCTAAATGTAGAATTTGCCCTGATCCACAAGGAAAGGAAAAAGGCAAACGAAGTGGCTTCGATGGTCCTTGTAGGAGATGTGAAGGACAGGGTTGCTATACTTGTTGATGACATGGCAGACACATGCGGCACAATCTGTCATGCTGCTGAAAAGTAATTAAAAGAAGAAAAAAAATCAAACAACAGTTTTTTTAATATAACTTTTCCGATCAGGTTGATGGACGCCGGAGCTACTAAAGTGTATGCTATACTCACTCACGGAATATTCTCCGGTCCTGCTATATCAAGAATAAACACTGCCTGCTTCGAAGCAGTCGTTGTTACAAACACAATACCACAGGAGGAACACATGAAGGATTGTCCTAAAGTTAGGGTAAGCAGTTTCATCAATTACAAAGGAAAATTTAACAAATTAATCGTAATTTCAATTACAGTGTATAGACGTTTCAATGATGTTTGCGGAAGCCGTCCGACGTACACACAACGGAGAATCTGTATCTTATCTGTTTTCCAACGTACCATATTGAGCGTTCCGTACTATAATGAGATGTACTATATTTGGACTAAATTAATCATTATTTTTTATGTCAGATGGCCTTAAACTCTTACTTCAATTGGTTGAGTAATCAGAGTAAAAGTAGTAATATAGTTCTTTTTCATATTATTGATGGTTTTGACTCCTTTAAATTTTTTTTTGCCAGGGGAAAGTCTTGGTAAATTTTTTTTGTGATTCGTTCCTCTTTTTTTGTAGTTTAAGATTTATATTTTACATCTACTTCCTTTTTCTTAGAGCGTTTTTTTAAATTAAACACTAGGTATAGTTTAGTTGAGAAAGGTTTTTAAAGAAAATTATGAAATTATAAAGAAATATTTATGAAATTGTGTAAAATATTAGCGTGCTGAGCACCTGATTTAAGAATAAAATATTTTTAATGATGTAGATAGCACAACAATGTAGGCAGTTTTTTGTTATTTCTCTACAAGACATTTCTGTGTTTTGTACTGAGAAAATATCTTTGTTTTCCTTTAAATACTTAAAATTGAGTTTAACACTTGTTATTAAGCATATATCAATGGTTAGGCGTAAAGCTTTAACTTAAGAATTTAAAAAAAAAAATCGTAAAACTCATGAAGTGAGTAAAATTGATTTGTACAATAAAACCAATATTTGAATTGCAAAGTTGGACATGATTTAAGGAAATATTGACATTTTTATTGTTCAAAAATTTAAAGATGTATGAATTTATGTTGTATGCATGTTTTTGTGAAAAAGAGGCTGGAGCTGAAAATTTATGCTTGTGTTATACTTACCTCTGTAAGTACTCCATACATCAAGTTACCTCAAACATTCACATTGCTCTGCTTATAAAAATGAATTAAAAGGACAATACATTTGAAATAAATTAAAGAACAAAAAATTACACTGCAACACTATGACAATGAAATAGTAAAAACATTTGTATCTTTTTATTTGCAGTTGTAAAAATGTCTGAAAAATGAGACAATTTTCATTTTGAAAAAGAAAAATTACTTGGATATTTGTTGGAATACAGAAATATTTTTAAGAAAGGACAATTTTATATAGATTTATTAACCCCGAACCTTTGTTCCTAAGTGTCAGTGGCATGGGCGTCTGCAAATCACCAGAAAGAATGGAATCCAAGAAGGGGTTTTTGTCATCGCCATTGAAGTTTGCTGGAGATCCTTTGATACTTCAACTTTGCAAGGGATGATCAGGACTGTGACCTCTGTCTCTGAAGTAGGTGTCAACCTTGTATGGCGTATTCTGAGCCAGGTGAGATCCCACTTATATTTCCTGAAGGACTATCCAGCAATTGTTTACTTTAATCAAGCCAACCAGTCCTGACATTTTTATATTTTGTCGAGCTTTTGGCTTTAATGTCTGTGCAAGGAATAGTTCCACGATTTCTTGAAGATTCCACAATTCTCAAATTATTTAAATAAATATGATGAGACACCAGCCATTTATCCACATGAAAGGCTGTTTGCGATGCTGAGGTTTTTTTGGGTATTAGAAAAAGCTATCAAGAAGACTTAAGTATTCCACAGTATGTCTCAAGCCCTTGATCACATTATACTTGAAAGTGTACAAAAAAATAGGATTTATTCCACCTGCAACCTGTTCCTAAATTAGATATTTGTCAACTTTATATGGCCTATTCTGGGTCTTTTTTCTAGATCCGGAATGACTATTTAGCTTTTTTGCAACTTGAATCTTAGGGTTGTTGGTGCTGCAACGATTTAGGTGATGACACTCATTACATTAAGATAAAGGTCTCAACATATAAATGAACCCCCCCCCCCAAAAAAAAATAAAAATAATCTCATTTTGTTGAGCTTTTAACCCCAAGACTGATCATGGGACGTCCTGGTTATTGATTTAAAAAAAAAATTAAAAATATAAAATATATTTAATAACTTATTAAAAGTGCATTTTATTTTTAATAAATGTTTACAGTATCAAAACGGTGCATAAAAAAATTATAAAAATATAATTCTTATTTTAAGAATTATAAACAATAAATTACAATGTTGTACTAATTCCCAACAAATTTTTCAAAGGTCTGCAAGAAGCTAACACGAAAGCATAGAAAACATGAACATTTTATTTTTCACTACTCTGGATCCTCGTATTATCAATATTCATGAAGCACAAATATTTGATCAGCGTGTATATTTATTTGTAAACTTGTTCTTGGTTCAATTGGTGTTGATCCTATTTTTTTAATAGTTTGAGTTTTTCTTGTACATCTGTTTCTCTTATATTTGTTTTGTGATTTTCTTTTTTTCTAAATAATTCTTAAGTATTTTGTTAGTGTTTATGTTTTGTTTATTAAATTCACGGCCGAGTGGGTCGAAGTCACCAAGTGGTAGAGTAGCGGTGTATCAAGCTGAAGGTTGTGGGTTCGAATCCCACTCGTGATATTGACTTTTTATCTCAACTAAAAACCTTAATTAATTGAATGTTTTGTTTATTGTTCACTGTCATAGCTGTATGTTATTTTAGGTGATTGGCGGATTTCTTGTTTTTCTAACAATAGAACTTGTTACTGTATTTTCTTCATTTCATTCATGGGGATATTTTACATTTTGACTGATTGGGATACTTGAAATTTTTTATTAACATGATTGTCTAGGCCTTAACTATACTAAATATTTTTTTTTAAATTTTCTGGAATGTTGAGGAAAGTTATGAGGTATAAAGTATGTCAATTTTATTGTATAGCTAGTCGATTTATTGATGTAATATATTGATGAGTTGGCAGATTTGTGTATGTCTGTTGGGCTGCTCTTAGGACGTTGTCTACTTTGAAGCTCAACTTCATCCTGCAACTCCTAGATCACTTATTTGCCCCTGGTCTGGCTTCTGTCGGGCAAATCTTGAAGAATTCCAGCTTTTGGCATCTCTTGCTGTTTTCTCCAACCCCTTGAATGACCTTGCTTCTACTGAAATGCCTAATAAAGCTAATAATCGTACCTTTTCTTCTTCGCAAAAGGTGGTAGGCATTGCACAACCCTGAATAGATAGTTAAGAGTTTCTGCCTTGAAACCAAGCATGTCTTCCTCGTGGTAGCATTTAAGCTAGACTTCCTCATCCCAGGTTATCGCTGCTGCTTGGAATCTACCCTTAACATCTGAGGGGCCGTCGTGGCTGCTGCAATAAATCTGGCTGCTAGATCATCACAGCACTATTAGTTCAAGGGGTTAAACTAAGCCTTATCCTTTCTATCAACCAGATCTTCAGCATACAATTGTTCCTCTTGCAGGTCTGAAACCACTTTGATCAATTTACTCACTGGCTTCCACCAATTTGACACACGGTGGTCTTTATTCATCCTATTACAATTTCTGGAGAGGGACTTACTTAAAGGTCAGAGTGCACTCTGAGTTTGAAAAACCCCACCCGGTTCATACCTCTGAAAAGAAAATCCGCCAACTCATCACATCATCATATTCTTTTCTAATTGACTTGTTATAAAAATAAATTGACATTACTAATTATCTGATGTAAAACGAAGCTGTGTAGTTTCAAATTTGTATAATGAACGTTGAATGATTAGGGGCTATTATATTTGTCAATACATTGTTTCTAAGCTCTTTTTTTAAACTATATTATGATGTTAATTTGATAAGATGTAAATTATGAGGAATGAAAAACAAATTAAACACTTGTTCACATATGAAAATGATTGACATAGTATGGCAGAATAATTATATGTATTCAATTTAGAAGCAGGCGGCTCCTGAAACATAAAAAACTATTTGTCTGAAATGATGTTTTAATAATTAAAATTTCATGACAGAAATTATGCACTTATGAGTTTGAATTATGCAATAAAGGTTTTGTAGAAGTTAAAAATTAGAAGAATAACCTGGTTGTTGATTAAATCAACACTATCATTAATAGTATTAATCACATTTCTTATTATGCAAAGGTATATAGTTTTTAGTCTTGGACAATTATTAATTTAAATAAAATCTATAAAAAAAAATTTAAAATAAATTATAACAACTTAAAATTTTAAATACTTATTTGTTTGAATTATTAAATATCACTTTTTTTTTTATCAATGGTCGCATTAAGTATTAAAAAAAATGCAATTAATATCTTGCCCCTTCTGGTATTGCTACATCAAATACAATTGGTGGGTTTACAGGGTTGTATTGGATGTTACAAGTCGATGCGTTGACGTATATCACACTGCCATCGGTTGTTATCCCATAGCCTGAATCAAAAAAATAAAACAACTGGTGGAAATCGTTTAATAAATTTCCACGTACCTTCGTGAATGTGGCCGAAAACGTGATATTTGGGTTTAACACGTCTTTGCACGGTTGACAAGAGTTCAACACACCCAGCTCGAACTCCAGAGCAGCAGAGATCACCATGCCCGATCGGAGGGGTGTGCGTAACGAGAATATCGGTGTCGTCTGGTATCAGGTCCCATTTTTCTAAACATTTGCGTCCTCTTGGAACGTTAAAAGCCCAACCGTGGAATTCTGGCTGCCTGGAGAAATGCAAACAATTATTTTAGACACACCCTGCTCAAACTATAGAACAGCAGAAATCACCGTGGAGGCGTGTGTGTAACAAGAATATCGATTTTGTTTGGAGTTCCCCTTCTATATAAGCTGTACAAAGTGCTGTTTAAAGTAGAAAATATATACATGAAGATAATAAAATTCCAAACTAGGGGCAGAATAGGACCAAAATGTCGCTTAGATAGAATATAAGTATAAAATAAAGTATATAAGTATAATAAAAAAAAATAAAAATAAAAAAAATAAAAATGGGGAAACTGTCCATTGACCTTGTTACCATTTTTTTTCTTTTACACCTCCCATCATTGTTCCAGTTCTACTTCTTCCAACCTTAAATTTCCGCTTAAAAGGCAACCATCTATAATGTAGATAATATTACAAAATAGAATCGTAGGGCTGCTACATAAAGGATGTCGTGGCACTTCTGGTGCTGGGAGTGACAGTAGATGAAATTACCAGTTGGACTATGCTGAACAGGGGCATCCAAGCAACCCAAATTGGCTTCAGCTGACAGTGTTGAAGCTAGTGCTTCCTCCAAGCCATATCAGGGAACCATGCTGAGGAAAGCAAGACTCATGAAATGGTCATCAGAATTTGCACATTATCATATGTCACAAATTGACCATGGTTCATTGACCAGGAAAGAGCTCAACAACTGTTTTAGGATAAATTTCCAGAAGTAAAGGTGTCTGAGCAGAGGATTGATAATAATAACAATGTAACTGAATGATAAGGATTTTTTTTTCAAATTATCTTAAGAGATAACATTAAGGTTTATAATGATGGGCGACCTATTGACCAGATTATTATTACCAGATTATTCGAAGGGTCACATCATACATTTCTTATCTCTTAAGTATTCATTTTCTATCACTGATAATTTATCTATTTCTGGATTTAAATTTAAAAAATGACAACTTGGGGTTTTCCGTCTCCTTTGGCTTTGTTCTGGACTGCAGAAAATGTATCATTGGATCCACAACCTAATCAATAGCAGCTGGTTATTTCTTAAAGATAGAGGCATGGTACTTGGACAAATGCGTGCTACATTTGTTTGGTAATGTATGAAGCCAATCGGTACTCATGAAACACCAGGCAATGGTTGATTGTTCCTGGAGCAGACTGAAGCAAACTAAACGTTTGACTTGACCAGTGTGGTTTATCCCATCTTGAACCCATACTAAATTCCCGTTTATTTCAACCAATCTTTTCTTTCCTTTTCAAATTCTTTTCTTTTCAACCAGCTTTTTGACTAATTCTGGGCCTTACGGTTTCAAGAATAATGAAATTAATTACAGTGGGCGAGATCGGCCACTTGTCCATTCTCATATAAGCAAAAATTAAAATTGTCCCAAGAGTACAAATATGGAATAAAAAGACACGATACTGATATAAATCACCTACCACGGAGATCCGTATATCTTCAATCCTGCAATAACTACTGATTCATCTTGAAGGTACAGGCAGTTTGTAAGCTTGTCCTTCATGTTGGTCGTCGATATGGCATCAGATATGCTTGCCATTGGAATGCCGAGTGTCGGTATGGATTTGCTCGGATTCGGGCTCAGCGGGTGCGTGAATGTCTGGTCAAAACTCAGCTCATGGTTGCCTGCTATAACAACTTTATACTTGTGTGGTAGCTTACCTATAAAATGTGGATGAAATATGGTCTTATTGTTGGAATAAATATAAGTAAATATCTTTGCATAGATTATTGTCAATTTATACACTTAAAGACAAAAACTAGATGCACATATTTGGCTGTTTATTTAAACTATATGTATTTTTATCATTATATTAATTACAACATACTTATTTTAATGTAAACCAAATTAAATGAGATCAGAAATTCATGAGATTTAATAAAAATTATTTAATTATAATGGTTTGAAAGACAATTCACCAAAACACCAGAAAATCATTTAGTGATAGATTAACATTTTACTAGCAATTTATTATTATTAATTTATCTCGATATCTTGTCTGGTTTTGCTCTTAAGAATGCGTATTACCTCCTCTGGCCTTGTAAAGGGCTGTAAGTCTTGAGTAAATAAGTGATTGAATTTCATCTTGTGAAACAGAATCCCATTCTTCAGCAACTCTTTATCATGTTCCATAAGTGTTCTATAGGATCTGTGCTAGAAGAACGCGCTGGCCAATTAAATCCCTACATCTTCCAACTAATGGTTGGCCACTACATGCTGTTGAGCATTAACATGCAGTTGTTCCCAATAAATGGAACAAATGGGACCACAGTTTCTGGAAGACCTTCCTCAATGTAACTTAGTGATGTCAAAAATCCATTCTGCATAAGGATCAGTTCGGAACAGGCATGGACGTTGATTCCACCCCATACCGCGACTCTTTGAAAAGGCACTCAGGCATGGTAAAGCAAAGTGTTTTCTATGTCTTCCCTCACAAAGTCCTGGTCATCTGATTGCCACAAACTGAACTTAGGTTAAGAAAGCCATCACTGTTCAAGTATCAAGCAAGATGCTGATTTGATTGAACCTGATGTGGGACATCTAGAGACTAAGCTATTCTCATGAAGCCTTCTGAGAACTGAGAACTCATCCTTACATTATGGGCTGTTTGGAGTTGACTACCTATCAAGGAAGCCGTTAAATGACAAAACAATTTGTTCTAGCCATCATGCATCACGGTTGACTTCACCTTCTCTTCAATGGACTTCTGGCGGCCCTAAACCATTGTAGACCATCGTGGATGGTAAAGCGTAGCACACCCATGATTTGTGCTATGTAATGGATTCATTGGCCAAAGCATCTGCCCGGATGATTCTCGGCTTAAAACCATGCTTTTAAGAAAAGAAATTAACACTTAATTTTTTTTCAATTAATTATTCATTTTATGTAAGGTCTTGGTTGAGATGAAAAAGTTGGTGCCACAAGCAAGATTCGAAACAATGACCTTTGGCTCAACATGCTCTAACCACATGAGCTATCGTGACGACGTCATTTTTTACTCAAATTTATTGTTTCATCAAAGAAAACAATTTAAAAATTAGCTCACTTAAGTTGGCTGTGGAAAGGATGAAATTGAACTGATTTTATTTATTGTTAATCTAAAGAATGTAAAAGGATTAGTAACACCCTGAGAAAGTAAACAACAATTTATTAATGTTTTGTTTACACTTTATGTTAACTATTAATCTTTGCACCTAGTTATTATGGAAAATAAACAAAGAAATACAATAAACCCTTATTTATTTTGCTGAGCCCTTAACAAACAACTGACTCTTTTCTGAATTCTTTTTACTTTGTCAAGAGTTGAATTCAGTAAAGCCTTAAAAACAACAAATCACCAGGTCCCTACAGGATTCCATACAAAATCTATATGCTCCTCCGCCATTCCTTGACCATCTTCTATTTTTTTTCCATGAGGGTTCGCAACAGCAGAGGTCATATCAACCCTCGGGATGCCGGTGTTTGAAGGGCCGCTGGATTCGAACCCGGGACCTTTACCTTACAGTGATGAGAGCCATGTCAATACCTAAACCGTTGCGGCCACCGACGCCCCTCCCATCTTCTATTTTCCAACATAACATTTTTTTATGTCCTTACTCCTACTGCATTTAGTAAATCTATCATTTTGCATCTATACGAGAGTGGTAATGTTAACAACATAATTACAGGGGAATGTCTTGCGCCTATCCAGCATTGAGTCCTTTACAGTAAAAAAGTCTCTTTTTAACTAATTTCAAATGGGTTTTTTAAAGAGTTAGTCGACAATAGATAACTTGTTTATGTTGTCAAGCATAATTAATACCACATTGGCCATTCCAAATTTAAAAAAAAATAAAATTATTGCTTATATGTGGGTCTGAAAGCAGCCTTTGTAGTGTGATAGAGGTCTCTTTTTGAAACTTATAACTTGGGCTTTTCGACTAAAATGTTAACTTTATTGAAACCGCTTTTGTCTTAGTCGATGTCAGGGGTTTGTGAGAGTGAAGGGGTCTCAGAAGATTTTCAAGTTCATTGTGAAATCAGGCAAGGTTGCCTGTTAAGTCTGTTTCCTCAAAGACCTTCCATCATTTGAGTGTTGTGTGAGAATGTTACAATACAAATGGCTCACTCCGCACATGGTCTACAAAAAAATATAAAGCTACTTGAAGCTTTTTGTGACCAACGGAATTTAATGGTGCACCTCAAAAAGTCTAAGGTTATGGTGTTCAGAAGAGGAGGTGGAATTAATTCTTCAGCCCATTGGTATTGTAAAGGGGAAAGAATAGAGGTGGTTAATGAGTATAAATATCTTAGTATACTCCTAATTCCCAAATTGAAGTGGACGAATCATTTGAAGAAAAAAGTTTCATTAGCAAAGATTGTAATCAACAAGAAGTGGTCCTTTTTACATCACTCAAGAGGTCATCCTATTAAAACTGAAGTATCAAGTATTCAACGTTCAATTTAATTATGGTTACCAAGTATGGGGCTATCAACAATTTGATTCAACAGAAAAGGTTCTAAGATATTTGGTCCGTAACTTATTTGCATACCAATTCCAAACCCAAATTATTTGATTTATTTAGAAACATCACCAGTAATATATACCCACCTTAAAGCTTCACTTCTCATTAATTCTTAAAATCTTACACCTTTCAGATTCCAGGCTAGTGAAAATAACAGTGTTAGAAATCATAAGGTCCAAGATTTCCTGGGATGCATAATGGCTATATCTATACCAAAACCCAACTATACGCTAACCACCCTTGATAAATGGCCAGACCTCTTTTCAGCTTTGTTATCTGCAATAAAAGAGCAGCATAGAACCAAATGCTTATGCTGTGCTTAATCCTCAGTTAATTTCTTGTTGTTTAAATACCTATATAATTCACGTAGTATATTTTAATTTAAAGGAACAAAATTTTATTGGTCTTAATCTATCTGAGTTGCGTTGCATATTATTATACTTTTACATCTTACATGTATTTGTATAATCCAACTGTTTGTCAATCCCGGCCCTGACGATGATATAAATAAAGATCAAAACACACAATAAAGGAAATGTTTTTCTAAAACTACATCACACAAGGCAGCATCTCAAGATCTCCAAATAACCATTAATTAACGGTCACTAAATACTACACATTAGTATTTATATTTAATTTATTAATTATAAAATGTATTTAATTTGAATGTGTTAGTATTACTGTTTACATTCAATACTAATATATAATATTAATTAAATATTTATAAACTATTGGACGTATTTATATAACTTATTAATTATAAAATTTATTTAATTTGTATGTGTTAGCATAAATATAACTTATTAATTATAAAATTTATTTAATTTGTATGTGTTACTATTATTGTTTAAATTCAATACTAACATTGATGTGTACAAAATTGTAAAACAGAGTATTTTCTGTCTAACTATATACACATATAAATCCGAAGGTCCATGTTTTTTTGTTATTGAGTGTATTTAGTCTTAAGAAGTTAAAGTTTTATCTTACCAATCCACTTATTAAAATCAAGCACTTCGCCCTCAGCACCACACCTTGTAAAATCTCCAGCATGGATGAAAATGTCTCCATCGGGAATTTTAAATCTAATATGAGAGGTCAGTGAGTGCGTGTCACTCATACATACTATCCTCAACTGTGAATTAAAATAAATAAAATTACTGATACCTGAGAGTAAACTGTTAAATAAAAGGGTTTAAATAAGATGAGTTATTCAACAAGGTAGTATATTACCATTATCACTTGTAAGATGTTGTACTAACTTATACAAAAGTGCTGTAAAGATTAATCGATGAATTAATCTTTATGGCACTTAGTCATACCCTAATCTGTAATATGATATTTACATGATTGACCCTTTGCTTGTAAATTGTGTGACAGAAGTAACTGTGTAATGATATTGCCACACTAATGCTGGTCAAGATTAATCGATGAATTAATCTTTATGGCACTTAGTCATACCCTAATCTGTAATATGATATTTATGACCCTTTGCTTGTAAATTGTGTTTCAAGAAGTAACTGTGTAAGAATATTGTCACACTAATGCAGATCGTCACGGGCAATGTAGCTTGTGTGACTTGTCGAACATTTGTCAGTGTATTCATCATAAATGACGGTAATAAATTAAACTGGCACGTAAAGTGAGGAGATGATGGTCAAGAACAATACCTAGAGCTGATGAAGTTTAATGAAGGGAAGGCAAAAATTGTAACTTTTGTTCTTACAAACAATTCTTCAAATTTTTAAACTTATGTTTCATAAAGTCTTTACTGTTTATAGTTTGAAGTAGGACAACACCTGTGCTTATCAAGTGAGTAAACTTAAAGAGACTTATTCGGATGTTTACCTTGTTTCCCGAAGGCTTTTTAGGCACCGGTGGGACATTGATTTTTATGACTTTCTGCGTCAGGGAAAGTTCTTTCCACGCCTTGTTCGGGTCGTCCGTTAGAGGATGGATATCAATCTTCATCACAGACGGTCTGCTACTTTTTATATTGCATACTTTTAAATTTATGTTAATCCGGCTTAGCACCGACCCTGAGTGAAGTTACCTCCCCATGTACGTCAACCTTATCTCTTATCAATTATCACTTATGCCATACTTATCTTCTTCCGCTTTAAAGAAGTAAACAAAAAATTAAAATTTATTTTAATTTCTATACCTTAAACAAACAAATTTGATTTGATTTAAAATTGTTATTGCTCATGAGAACAAAAAATACATCAAAAGAGATAAAGGTTCAATTAATAAAAAATAAAATGAAAAGTAGACATAAATAATAATTAAATTATAAAAATGAACAAAAAATATTATGAAGTTTCTTGAAATTTTTATTAACTATCATTTGTCAATTAGAGAATAAAATTGAGGATGTAATAAACACTTAACTTGATATTTACTAGATGGCACTGTATGCACGTATGAAGATTCTCACTAGTATTGGGCAATTTACTTTTAACTCGCTTTATTGACCATACAATCTACTACAGAAATTGAACTAAGCAAAAAATTGGGGGAAAGGTTGTAGATCGATTGTTTAACTTTTTTACTAAATCGATACCACACACGATTCCCCGCGTTATAGTCTCCATCTTGACATTTCTGTGCTCGCTCTCGTCAAGTGAAAATTCTCCCGTTGAATTCAAGTTTATTTGGTTCGTATAAAAAGACTATTTGAAATATGATACGTATGATATATTATATGTAACGTAATGAATGGTGATTAGTATGAAATCTGAAAAATGAACTGCCTGTTTGAATATTTTTTCACACAGTTTCTAGTTTTGTCCGGCTGTTTCATGTCCTGAGTTTTTATAACTCAATCTCTACATGTATTGCAATAATTCGAGCTCTTAAAATACAAACTCATACACACTACACCAAATGCACGGATAAAATATGTAGATTCAAATTTCTCACCAACCTTCTTTATTTTCTCATTTTGCTCTGATCCCTCCCCCCCTCTCACTCAAACTTCATCTTTATCTCCTGAACACTTCCACATTTTTTGTTATTATTTCTTTTTCTCTCTCTCATTATTGACACTCTGTTGTATTTTCAACTCTCTCTCTCCTTATACTCACACACACTCTCTCTCTCATTCTCTCTCCCCCCCTCTCTCTCTTTACCACTTTCAATCTATTCCTCTCATTCTGTCATTATTACTCATCTTTATCTCTTGAACACTTCCCCATTTTTTTATTTCCTTTTCTCTCTCACTATTGACAATCTGTTGTATTTTCAACTCTCGCTCTCTCTCCCTCTTCATCTTCTTATACTCACACTCTTCTCTCTTACACACACACTCTCTTTCTTATCAGTTTCATTCTATCTCTTTATACATCTTCCTGTCTATTCCTCTCATTCTGTCATTATTCCTCATCTTTATATCCTGAACACTTNTCTCTCTCTCTCTCTCTCTCTCTCTCTCTCTCTCTCTCTCTCTCTCTCTCTCTCTCTCTCTCTCTCTCTCTCTCTCTCTCTCTCTCTCTCTCTCTCTCTCTCTCTCTCTCTCTCTCTCTCTCTCTCTCTCTCTCTCTCTCTCTCTCTCTCTCTCTCTCTCTCTCTCTCTCTCTCTCTCTCTCTCTCTCTCTCTCTCTCTCTCTCTCTCTCTCTCTCTCTCTCTCTCTCTCTCTCTCTCTCTCTCTCTCTCTCTCTCTCTCTCTCTCTCTCTCTCTCTCTCTCTCTCTCTCTCTCTCTCTCTCTCTCTCTCTCTCTCTCTCTCTCTCTCTCTCTCTCTCTCTCTCTCTCTCTCTCTCTCTCTCTCTCTCTCTCCTCCCCTCTCTCCCCTCTCTCCTTTCTCCCTCCCTTGTATTTATTTTTGTAAGTATATCGCAATTAAGGGTTACAATGAAGGGCCGGTGGATTCGAACCCGAAACCTTTACCTTACAGCGAAGAACTCCTAATCCATTGGGGCCACCGACGGCCCTGTAAAGGTTTCAATCTTCGATCTGTCCTAAAAGGCGTGACAAACGACAAAACGACCGTGGAGTGCACCGGCGTTTCTTTTTTTGGGGGGGAAACAGTACATTCCGTACTACTTTATTTCATTCTAGTTTTCTTTCCTTGGCGTCCTTAAGTTTCTAGCGTTTTCTCTTTGGCCAAGGGGGTCGACGATCCCCCGGTCCCACCTTCCTCTCTCACGTACTTAGAGATAAGGAAGGACGTCAGGTGTTAATACGACCAACAAAGGGAGTACACAATTACACGCTTACACTCCTCGACCGGATCTGAACACAAAACCGGAGGGTTTTGCGGCCTAAAAGTCTGCTCGTCGGTTTTTAAAATAATACTGTTAAATTTTTAATTATGTCTATTGTTGTTTATTTGCTAGATAACTAATTAATTACATAAAATAACTTATTGAATGAAGCAGGCTTGTGAGTAATCTCGGGGATTTGTGCAACAAATCAAGGCTATTTTCATCATGAATACTTGTTTAGCTTCACCTTTTATCTATTTGTGTTCAGAGCCATAGAAAATTTTACACAATTATTTATACTGCACTATTTTATTTTTAATATCTACTAAGTATTAAGTCTGGACTGTCGTGCTTATCGTGCGAGTGATCAAGAAAGTCAAATACCACACAATACATTACATATTTTTACATGACCTTATAAAATAGACACACAATGTTTAATAAAAACCACTTCTTTCTTAAATTTTGACACGATAATTTTCCATATGGTTTGAGTTTTCAGCTGTAGTAGGATGGATTTTTGCATAGCTCAGTTAAATATGGTCCTGACCTTTTCATTCTACATTTTTTCATTGTGATTTACGGAACGAGTTGACTTAAGTCCGACTCCATATGTAATGAGGCCCCTTTATCCTTTTTCGAGACGTTCCTACGGTGGGATAAAAGAGAGGGATTTAGGCTAAACGAAAGAGGGCTTAGACACATTAGGTGTCAGGAATGATGTCCTTTATTCCGGCCAAACTTTCCTCTGGCTCCAGAAAAGATCACATTTCCATAAAATCCCACTTTCCAAATATGAGTGGTTCCAGGCCTTTTAAATCGGCCTTGTGGATTATCGGATATTCTATTTTTGATTTTATAAATAAAATTGGGCTTACGAAATAGGGGGATTTCATAAGATTATTCGTCTTGAGAGTTTTTCTTGTGATCTGCCGATTTATGAATCTGTAGCTTCTCATTACAGGCATCATGCTGACCCAGTTATCTTGTAGATGTCCATCTTGCTGAACTCATAATTTGGTTGTTTCCGATCATTCTGGTTCGTGTTTTGGTTTGTCAGACGTGTTTCGGAATTTCGTCATCTTCAGTGGTGAATTTGTGAGTTGTTTTACTCACTTGGGTCTGTTACATAAGTTAGTAAATGAAGAAGTGTTAAATTTGTTAGTATTTGAGGTGTTGAACATGCAGTTTGGTGTCTGGACCAGGATGACCAGACAGCCCACCCTTTCTTCATCAGACATTTCTCTAAGAGACCAGAATAATGTGAAACGATCGAATTGTCATTGTAAAAATCTTTTTTTTTTTTTTTGTACAAATAAGAAATTATAAAGAGATTGCTTGATTGGGGAATTTAATAGCCGGAATGAAGATAAACATTGATTATGCAAACTGTCGTCTAGGTAAAAAAAAAAAAATTGATCAACTCTGGTTCGCCTTTTCTCGCTGATTGAAGTCTCAACGTTTGGCTATATAGCTCGACGTATTTCTGTCCTTTTGTATAGTTTCATGTGAATACAAGTTTGTGTGTTTGGTCGGACCACTTTGTCGAACGTCTTTTATACTATTGAGGTCAGTACTGGGGTTGTTTTTCAATGGGGTGAAAGTGAGTTAAGGGCTCGCTTTAAGTATATTGTCCTTTGTTGTTTATTTATTACTTTTTCGAGTCTTTTCATGAAATAAATCTCCTTGAGTATTGGTATTCATTTGTAATTTGTGCTTGGTGTAAAGTATAATTAGATATAGATATAAAAATTAAGCTAGCCTTTTACATTTCAGATGACTTTGTCAAAATTGTGTTAGTTACTCTATTTATAAATTTAGTCAGCATATTGGGCAAAAAAGCTATACCCAAAAATTCGTGAAACAACCACAGAACATCTCTGTAAGTAAATCTAGTAGCTCGCTGGATTAATAAAAAAATCAACCAGCTCGCGGGCCTGAAATGAATCATTGTTTGTTAATCAGCTCGTATTTGATGGGTGCCTGATTACAAAATCATCGGCTCGTAGAATATTAATAAGCCGTTTGACTTCACTTGACTTTTCGATTGGTTTTGTAGAAACGAATTCGAGATAGCCAGCCCTGAGCGCGTGCCATCCTTCATGTCTTTATTTTTCCACCGCGAGTCCCATTCGGTTCCTAAAGACAATTTCTAATCGATAATAATACGGTTAATAGATTCATAAATATTGATGAATTTGTTCTAATTGCTAAAACGGTGAAAACTCGTTAGAACCCACCTGAATTTAGACAAAGCATTCGAAAAGGGCTGTGCTTCTGTGAGTGTTTTAAATGTTGTTTACTGTGATTTCAGATGTTTCACGTTATAATTTAATAGTGTCAAACAAACAAGATTTAACAAGCTCTACCTTTATCGAATTACGTACTTTTTTTGCAAACTGCCAGAATAAAAACACAGTTTTATTTTATTAGAGTAGGTTATTTTGTTTTAAAATAAATAAAGAACTTTCAATTTCTACAAGACAGCATCACGGCACCAAAAAAGGAAGTTAGCCTGTTTAAAAAAAAAACAGAAGCCATCAAGGGGGGAGAAGAAATTAATGAGATTTCAGCCTCCATAATCATAAGTTTGCCGGCTCTCGTACACAAAAAGACATACTTCACGGTCGGACAATCCGAGGTGGCAGCCCCTTTTTTACAGCACCACCGGGAATCGTTTCCTTTACGGTGCAGCACACCTCGAATAAGACGATTGTAGTTTATGTAGGGAAAAAAAGGAAAAGTGCACGCTCTTACTACAAACAGAAGAATGTTTATTCAAGTTTCCACTTGAAATAAATGTCGTACGTTTACTCTTTAGAAGAACGACACACTTAGGATTATCGAGTTTGACCTTTCTAATAGGACTTTTCCTCAAAAATGAGACTTCCAGACTAAGGTTTAAGGAATTAAGGATATTACTTGCTGGGGTAATACAAGGGTAGGTTTTAGGCCCGTACATTAAATATTAATTGGCTAAATGACAATTCGGGAATTTAAATTAGTTAAGCTTTCACCAGTAATTTAGAGATAAGGGATACATTCATTATGACGGTATGACTGATCTCTAACTTAGTGGTGATATCTTGACGGTAGATTCATCCTTCTTTAGTTAATTTTTAAAAAAGGGTAAATTTTTGGTAGTTTTATAAGGGATATTTTATTGCCGATGTGTTTATTTTTGAATTTAAGTATTTTGGTAAGTATACTTTCTGTATAGTATAGGTAGTCTAGACGTTTCTCTTTCAGGAAGAAAGACACACTTGTCACACAGTTTGATCTCTCTATGGTCATTGCATTTAGGCCCGTTACTGTACCACCAGAAGTATGGACTTCATGACGCCCAAATCGCAATTCGGCACATGCAGTGTCAGATATGTATCTTGCGAAGGTTAAGGAATCTGATTAATTCGACCCTCGTTGTATTGGTGTTTGAAGGGAACGTTTTAGGC